AAATAAAGTCACGAAATAAAAGATTATTAATATCTTGATGGAAAAATAGTTTTCTAAATTTTCTAAACTTTTATGCGTAATCATGGTAGCTTATGCAATTAACCCACAGTTTCAGAATATAAACATTGAAATTAAATATAAAAATGGATCGTTGAGCGTGAACAATGAATCGAACAATGATATAATACGCATCAATTTATCATGAAGAAAAAATGTTTTCTTTTCAAGCGTTCCGCTCCGCATGTGTACTATCTCGAAAAAAAGTAAATCGAACTTCTTTGTGTGGACATATGCAACTTATTGGATTGCACATTTATCTTCATCTCTAGCCCTTTAAAAAGGAAAAATAATGCTTGGAAAATTTCACTCGGCACTTTACAATCTGCTTGCACATGCACTCAAATTTTTCTCACGAGAGATCTTCTTTTGAAAAGTCGCGCACCTCTTGATGAGACAGTTTCATAGTGGCGACCCAATGTCCTGTAATATAAAAGTGTCTCGGTTGACGACGCAACCCTTTTCAGGTATATGAAAAAGGCTCGCCTCGACCTTTTCTTTATTCGGTTACGTCTAGCTCGCTCACCCCCTTATGCAAACGACTATTCATCTATTACATAGTGCTCGTTCGGTATTCGTGTGAAGGTGAATTTGGGGTGGTAGTGGCGTGGTGGGGGATGACGATGATGTGTGGAGGGACGACGGGGGGACGGGGGGGACGGGGGGACGGGGGGACGGGGGACGGAGGGATCAGAGACGAGTGCCTCGTACGCAATTTTTCAGGAAAAATGGGGAAAAAGGGAATTGAGATCGGTTACGTGGTGGGCGGTAGGTAGCCGTCCCGTCGCATTTAAACGAAATTTTTCGTTCTCTGACTTTGAAGCGTGGGATCGCGGTTCTCGATAATCGTCTTCGGATTCACGAAGCGATTATCCATTTGGTATTGAGTTCGTGGGAGTATATGGGGTCTTGCATCAGCATCATCGTGACGATGGGGTTATGATAGATTGTGTCGACGTTCACAGGTGATTAATTGGTGGGTCGATGAATGTTCCTGGAACTCCGTACATGCGCTAGTGAAGTTTATGTTTCGTGCACGGGACTGTAAAACATCTGGGAGCAATTAGATGTAAATAATTGATTGTCAATGTAACTAGTAACATTCAATTGATAAATGTAAGAAATGTTTATTTTTAATGATGATTTCTTATTTCTAAAGAAACTCCTTTTAGTTTATCACGAAGTTTCTTTTATATTAAGCTAAACATTATTGTCAATGCTTTTTCGAATATTTAAAAGTATCGACATTTCTTCAATCAAGTGCTAGTCTAATACCATAAATATGTCATGTAATTCTATTTTATGTCCTCCTCTATCTCGAACAATTATCATGGATATTGCAAAGCAGTAAAATACACATTCATTATACGTCTTAGCACCTTCGAACATCATCGTCACTAAAGAGCTCTCGTGTCAAATTATCTCCTCGTAATGCAAAGAGCCTCTTAACATCACGACGATGAATTTCTTCGACGAAAACCAGAAGCTTGTTTTTAAAAGTACCCGAGGGATGATTTTCCGTTTTTGCTTACTTGCTTCAGTACTAAAACGGAAGTCATCAAGTGTACCAATCGTTGCTTTACGAAAATAGGATACAGGCACTGCCAACTTTCACACGGCTGGACCTAAAGAATATCGGTCCATTGCCCGCACCCTAATCTTGCTTCTAGTTTATGCTTTTCTCTCTTCTTCTGCTCTTCCTGAAAGTTCAACATTTTTACCGCGACTATTAAAACTATTATTATTGATCTTGATGTTTGGCTCGACTAGCGATGATAAGAAATGTATAATTTCACCTGAATCAAATAAGGATCATTGAGATATTTTACAGTAGTTGATAATTTTCATTGATCAGTCTTTGTGTTGTAGGGGAAAAATATTTACGTATTAAAAGAGAATAAAGACAAGACGTTTTAAGACAATTTTTACGTCGATTGCTTTAAGATTTTTGAAAATACAATTATTATTCGAATTATATCAATATTTAATGAATTTTTATCAATTTTGGAAATTAATTTTGCCTTGTTTTATTGTTTTTTTTTTTTGTTTTTTTTTTGTTTGTTTTGATTGTGATTTGTAATGAATTAATAACACTAATATTACTAGCCATCTAATAATAATACATAATTATAATCTAATAACAGTACTAATAATATATTGAATAAGGCAAGGAGGGTGTTTCGAATTTGTGTGCCACTCCAAATATTAAATATATTTGACGTTCGAGATGGGATGAGGGGTTTCGAATTGCTATTGCTTAATCAAATCAGCCACAGTTTATTCAATGATTTTTCCAAATGAGTAATTCATGCACGTCGCATTTTATGGGTAAAAATTTCTCTTTATCTAGTCTTTAGAGAGCAGTGTGGCCTCGGGGTGTTGAAATTGAACTAAATAAATTTTTCTCTAAGTAAATGTGTGATAATTTCCGAAAATTTCTTTTACTGCTTAATATTATTCTTAATATTAATATTAGACGAATAGTATGACATGGCTACGTCTTAATATAACGCGAATTACGAAATGACAATTCGAGTTTCGATTTTCATCATTTTGAAACTATCCAAGAGACTCGTGTGATTACACAGGGTAATGGGGGGGGGGAATATATAGAAACATCAAAATCTTCTCTCCTCGCACATTCTTCCCGACCTTTGACGCTCGAGCGTGTAAAGGCGCGCGCTAACAGTCGAGTCTTCAGGCTTACGTATCCGTCCTCTTCCTCGTCATCCGCCACGGGTATGTCTAGTTTACGTAGCCCCTGGAGATTATTCTGCCTGTCAGCAAAAGGTAGGGGCAAAGGCGCGTACCAACACAGATGGTGCGTATGCTTCGCACGGCACCTGCTTATGTTGAGACAAGGCTCGAGACGTTTCCTGTGCCGCTCCTGATAACAACATTTCATGAACCGTTTGGCCTTCTATTTTTTTTTATTTTTTTTTTTTTTTTTTGTTTTTTTGGTTTTTTTTTTAATCTCCTTCCGATGGAACGAGATTTATAGCGCTCGATTGCGACTCGCCGTCGTCTATCCGAAACAGGATACTACTTCTAAGACGTAACTTGTTATATCTGACTGGAACAAGCATTTGATGTTTATTAAAAAGAAGAGCGTAATTCACCGAGATAAAATAATAGAGCAAATATTTACTAAACTTCTACGCAATAATTTAAACGTAAATTACACGATTTTTCATACGAAGTCGAATTTTTTTCTTTTTTACACAAATATTGACACTTGTATTAAAATATAAATTTTTATGTACATTTTAACAAAAGATTTGCGCAGAGCAATTATGGGTATCATTGAGAATACTTTGTAACAATATTTTGATGCAGGAATAAATATATATTTACTTTTATAAAATATTTTCGAATAAACTATTAAAAACACATTTCTATTAATATGTGACTGAGAATTAGTGAAGAGGCGTTGTGGTCTTAATTCGTATTTGATTATTTGAAACATAGCTAAAATATTAAAATTTTACATAAAATTTTGTTGTATTTAACTAAAAATTTAGACCATAATTAATTATTATCTCAAATATCAAATTTAATATTTAATTCGATTGTGAGCGAAGCAATTAGTATAATTATATTTAAAATAAACGTTATGTACTTTATCGTATACAGAGGCAATGATATACAATTATCAATTCAATCGTATAATATCTTAATTAAATATTAGACTAATAAAAATATATAAAATGCAATGAATAATACGATATTGAGATCATAAGAAGTAATTTCCATCAGAGTACAATCGTTGCTAGTTTAAATACTTTCTTTTCTTTCATTTGAAAAATTAATTTTACAATTATAGTCGCTTACTATTATGATTATGATGTAAAGACATTTTCTTTTTTCATATTCACTTATTTAATGAAGATAAATAATTTGTTTATTTGACCGTGGTATATCTAACATTATTGATTATTATAAATTTACACTAATCAAGAAAATTTTGAAATGTATAAAATTAATGATATTTTAAAATTATTTCTAGGTATTTCAGTATTTTGATGTATAATTTGATTTATAATTATTATAATTCTCATCGAATTAATTGAATTCGTTATAAAGTAAGTACTCTGTGTTATTGTAAATCTGTTTTCACTATAAAGTACTATAAAGCATCTTTAATCGATACATTAATATATAAATTTGCATACACGTAATATATCAATTTATCAATATATTAAGATATGCTCGTTTAAACCATTTCAATAACTTTTATAATGATTTCTATTAGCCTTGGTATCCATATATTACATATTTATCCATATAATTTTAAAAGTCTATATTTTTTGATTAATAAATAATATATGATATAATAATAATATAATAATAAATAATCTATGATAACTCTATTATAATTTTCATAATTTTATAATTTACTTGGTAGTATTTTTAAAAATAATTATTCACATGTTGAAGCAATTATATATAACTTAAACCTTAAAATTATAACATTTATAGCTGAAAAATAGTGTAAAAACCTAATATTTGTAAATTTAATGTAAATATAATTTACATTGGTACAGTGTTGATTATGAAATTGCACTAATAATGACAAAAAAAATTATAGTTTTGTGAGTCAAAAGAAGTAAAATGATATTGTGTAAATTTTTCAAGTAATACTTTCGTCAAACTATTATTTTTTTTCGATAAATATTCTTAATAATCTTTGAATAAATTAACAATGAGATTTTTTTTACTTATTTATATGAGATCTCATTGTTTACTTATTTAACATGTTACTTACCTATAAAATTATTAACTGACATAATTTTTTCAAATATCATAACAATAATATATGAATTATCTATATTTTTTTATAACGATAACTTAAAACATTAAAATTAGTTTGCTACTATATTTTGATATAAAATTAATTTTGTTAGCAAATATTTAATTTTCATGTCAAATGTTTAATTGTTTTATATTTTGATTTTTAATCCTATTCTTCGATATTTTCAGCATGAGATTCAAAGCTTTCATTTTTATTCAGTGCATAATACTGTGTGAGTAATAAATAATATTTTTAACTCCCGTAAAGCATTAGAGAACGCTGAAATAATATGAAAATTTTATTTGTAGATAGTCAATATGATTCCTTGAGTGCAAAAGCGTTAATCGGAGAGTATGTTAGACGAGTAAGACCGGATGAATTTAATTTTATAGTATCTATCGAACGAATTAATGCCTCAAATCCTATAATACAGAATAATCATGATTGCACAGGAGTGCTAGTATCACAAAAAACTGTATTAACTTCAGCTCATTGTTTAGCAACTATGAAGCTGGATGAGACTGTAATAGTGGTTGGATCAACTGATTTAAGACGCGGCAGAAATTTTTATCCATCATTTTGGCTTTCTTATGACAGGTGGATTTCACTGAAGAATAAAGAGAGCCAATACTCACTCAACGATATAGCTATTATAAAAGTACGACTTTATACTATTTTCTCGAATAAAAAGTTAATACGAGCAATCGTCACTGAACATGTATGATCTAGTGAATACTCGTGAAAATAAAAATTAATTGAAAAATTAAGAGAATTTCTTTTACAGTTAGCTACTGAGGTGCCGGGTTATATCCATCCAGTGCTTTTATCGACTAAACCAAGTATCGAACTATATGGATTAAGAGTCGTAACAGCAGGATGGGGTGAAAATAGAAATGGCGATATTAATAATTTTTTGGAGGCTGTAATTGTCAATGTTATACCGCATAGGGAATGTGAAAATAAAATCTTTCGAGCTACTGGTGAAAGAATTTCAATTGGAAAAAATCTCTTGTGTACCGTTGCGAATCCATATGCACTTCTGTGCAGGGTAAATATATATTTTTATAAGTAGTAAACGATAAATGATTACATCAATAAGTGAAACATATTTTTAAAATAATTTTGTATTATTCATAGTTGCAAGAGATATTTAGTTTCTTTCTATTTCAATTTGTTAGTAAAATCTTATTTTAATTAAATCTAATTTACGAATAGTATAATAGTAAAATTTTAAAACACTATTAACCCATTCATAGTTACTTTTAAAGTTTATTATAATTAATTTTTTTTTTAGCGATTTGTAAAATCATTTATATAACTCATATCTTATGTTGTTTAATGCAACCTTTAAAAATCATCACAACGTCACAAGCATTATAGAGGCCGAATATTAACGTTATTTATATTAATACGAAAAACTGTATAAATAATTGCAAGTTATTCGTGAGAATTATGTCCAAATATTAAAAATATGTGTAAAATGTAGAAACTTTAAAGAAGCTTTTCAATGAAATATGCATTATATATTTATCAAATTGATATTCTTTCATATTTTAGGGAGATAGCGGTGGTCCTTTACTAGACAATGGAAAGCTTATTGGAATAAATAAAGGAGTCTGTTTATATCCAGAATTTCGTTTTCATCCAGATAAAATAAATATACACATGTCTATTAACCATTATAAGGACTTTATAGTAGATGTTATACAAAATTTTTAAATGAAAAAAAATAACAATAACAAATAATAAGTACATGTTTTAAATTCATCATTCAAGTTGTCTTGAATTGAGTTTTCTTTATTAACTTGAATTTTCAAATGCTTCTTTAACATTGTTCTTTTAAAATAGTTATGACAACTATCTATATTATTTTACATTATTAATAGAATATTAAACGTAATGAAGTTTGTGGATTAGTATATTTGGATATTTCTTTTATTTGTTAAGTTATTTAACTTATTGACTAATAGAACATATCATTTTTTACGTAATGAATAATACGTAATGAATTTTACGAAAGATATAAACTGTAATTATTTATTCTTTATTTTGTATATATTTAAAATTCATTATTTTATTATAATTTTTTCTTATATGGTTATATGTTGAAGTATAAGACATTGATAAAAAGTAATACGAAATATTTTCGTTTCAAAATAATATATTTTATTATCAATTACGGAATTTTATGATGCTTTGTAGAAACATATAAAATAAATAATTACAAGTATTTAATTTTTAATTATTCTTAGTTTTACATAGAATTAATTTTACAATTATACAGTTATTAAATATTTCAAATAATCGTATGTATAAAGATTGTATAAATAAGAATGTCCATTAAAAAATATTATACAAATAGAACAAATATTCGTTGTATTTAATTTAATTTATTTTTAAATTTATACTGAAAAAAAAATGAATAAAATTATATCAATCAAGGAATTCATTTTGAACAGACAATGTACTATGCATGAATTTTTAAATCGTCAACATTATGTCAATTATTTGCAATTAGAATACTTGAATTATGTTTAATATTATTGTAAACTAATGTTATCGCAAATTATCAATGTCATATAATATTTTATTTGTTCTTAGTGTTTAGTTTATCATCTACCTACACGAAGTAGAGTTTGTATTCATGAAATCACATTTTGCAGAAATGATATTCATCTTGCTTAGTAATTGTGACATAAACACAAAGTTAATAACGCGAATTTAAATTACAAGAAATATTCACTCAAGTGCTTTATAAAAATATGATACATTAGGGGTTTCCATTTATAATTATGTATATCAAGGTAAATAATACTATTTTTTTAACGGATAACAAAATTTATGTAATATATATGAAATATATACAGCATATATTTTAGTTATTATTTCATCATTTGGATTAGAATTCCAACAATGCAATAATTCCAATATTAAAATGAAATAAATCGAATTAAGTCACTAAAGTATGGCAATTGTGAGCATTTTATCGATCTCTAATTTATTTGAATATTTTTAAATAGTTGAAAACGTAAAAATTATAGTCCTATATTGTTTATAAGTAATAAGATTATTTTTCAACATTCATCATTGCTTGTATACAAACTATAGTATTTTTTTATTACCTTACATACTTTAACAAATTGTAAAATAAAGACATTATCGTGGAAAAGGTATTGACTATAATTATATCGTCTTTGATATAACAGTCTAAATATTAATATTATAACGTATTTAAATAATGAAAAATAACTTGAATTAAGATTATACACAAAGAGCAAGTACTTCGCAAACATGTTTGATATTTTTTTGTCACAGAATTTTTTATAAATATGAAATCGAAGCTAACTTAAAAAGTCTAATTTAATGCTTTTTATTAAATTATATTACTTTTAATTATTTGTTTAATTATTTCTATTATATTACTGCGTCTACAATCTTTTAAACGCATTAATTTTATTATATTTTTTTATATTAAATTAATGTATGCGTTTTCAAGTGCATTATAAATAAATATATTTATTAAAATAATTTTCGTAAACATCTACAAACATAATTCGATATTTTTCTTTAAAAAAAGATAATAAAAATCACTTGCTTGAAAAATAACAAATTTTTTTAATGTATTTAACATACATATTTTGTAGCGTAACCAACTGTGCAATAATATAACAATTAATTTTAAAATATGATATTTTATATAAGCAATTTTTAAACATAAACATGATTTCAACATATTAATCTATGTATGTATCTATTTATATATTATTTGCACCATATTTGGCAAAGCGATAGATAAGAATTTTACAGTAGTATTAAGTAAAAAACTTTTTTTATTATTATTCAGTTTAAATTATACTTTTTAAATAAGTAGTGTGATTAATTTTTTTACATTATTTACAATTTATGTAAAATTAAAAAAAAAAGTTTATCCGGCCAATATTAACCGAAGTTTATATATATATATATATAAACATATATATATATATATTATACATAAATATACATAATATTACAGAAAACCATATATAATATACAATAAAATAAATAATGTATACAATAAATAAAGTAATATGAGAAAAAAAAATAATAATACCTTGATAATAAATAAGTAAGACTATATTTGGAACAAAATTAAAATTAAGTAAAAAAATTTTTTTATCAAATATTCAATACTAAGATATTCAAAAATAAATATTTTGTAATAGTAATTCTGACTGGAACTATAAGTGCAAATCTCCTGCATGCATAATCATTGAATTTCTTATCAAAATTAGTCTGCTTATATTCATTTTATAAAAGCTTACCTACATTTGGTCCTTTTATCCTTTCGATAAAAAATCTCGCTAGGTTATGAATTTTTTTTTTCCTTGTCATTCTAAATCTTTTTATTAATGCTATGTTACATTATACAAGCTATGTTATTTTTTATATATTCTATTTTAATTATCATACTTTGCAATTATTAGAAGGAATATTGAATAAAGAATAGTTTTAGTTACATTGAAATACCATTTGTCTTTATTAAAAAGTAGAATTTTTTTTTTTCAATAAATCAGATAAGATTTTTCAATAAAATATTTAATATAATCAAGAAACACAATGAAACCAATAAAAAACCAATCTTATTCCTGAAAATTTAAACCGAATAGCAGTAATGATTGAAGTATATAAATGTTATATATATTTTGATTTCACAAGGTCGCCTTTTGTTAGTCAAATAATACTGTATAATGAATAAAACTTATTGTTGTTAAAATTAAAACACAAAATTTCTATCACAGGATTTAAAGTTAACATATTTTTTATTAATATGTAATCCTTTTAATATCCGTAGATTCTTTTCTAATGAATTTTATAATCGTATTTTTACTAGATTTCGTTCGTGCTTATAAGTTAACTATATTAATATTGATTATTATGGTTACGTATTTTATGTATATAGAAATAATATAGAATTAAATAAATTCCACATAAAAATAGATAATTTCTTAAATCAAATATAGATAACAGATATTTTAAATAAGAAAATTGTAGTTATAAAAATATATTTTAATACTTCGGTAATGCTATAAAAAGGTTAAAATTAAATTTTTGAAATATATAGGTATTCCATTTGGAAATAAAAGAAGTAAGGAATTACATAAGTTTGAGCAAAAATTTATTATCGTTGTAATATTGTTAACATAATATTGTTAAAAATAAAAAGTTCCACAAAAAATTACAACAATGGTATCAATATTTCATAAAAAGACTATTAAAAAAAAAAAAAAAAAAAAAAATAGAATAAAAATGTTTTTTATTTCAATAGTAATTATTCGTTGCTACGTATAATTATTTATAAATTTCTGAAATTTAATCTATTATTCTTTTTGGTATAAATTTAAATTTGATGTAATTATTAGTTGTAAAATAACAATAGCGTAAGTGTTAGTTAATGCACAATTTAATTCAAATAGTTATTCAGCAATAATATATCTAATAATTTAATTAATTTAGGAGCATTCAATTTAGCCATTAATATTTTTGTAATTTTGCAAAAATATAGATTTTGTTTTAGATATTATACTTTATTGTTTAGGTAAGGTAGACAAATAATATTATTTAAATAATTGTATAATTAATTAATATAAATATTGTTTTTTTTATAAAATTTAATCGAATTTGTAGTATTGTAAAAATAAGAAGAGATTATATTAATTAACGTTTTATTGAGAAAAAAAATGATTATTTATTCAGTTAAGTATTTGTATACCTGATTTTTGTAATGTGATAAATAATATTCGATGCATTTGTACATAAAAATATTGTAAATATAACGAATAATTTGTCAAATAATATGTGACTGATTAATGTAAACATAGTAAAAACGAGTTTTTTTTTCTACTTTTAATAAATTTTATAAGAATATTTATAATTATGAATATAATATATGTGATTATAATTTTTTATAAATGTAGAGCTAATGAACGGAATAATCAAGTCATTATTATATGTTATTAAGATTTATTTTAATTTCAGTATGGAATTAAAGGTTCGTCTTCTTATTGCTCAATGCTTATTATCGTGTAAGTAATAAGTACAGTTTTACACTCCGTTCAAAGTCAGTGGAATAATTATACGAGCAATTGTTTGCTATTAATACAATTATTTTGCTAAAAATTCAATTTTCAGGTATCCAATATGGTTTTATCGAAGCAATGGAGAGTCGGGGTGCAAGAGAGGGAGAATTTCCATTTGTCGTTTCCATTAAGAAGCAGGAATATCCTAATCGCCCGGACAAAGATCATGTTTGTTCAGGAGTTCTTATCTCAAACAAGGATGTTTTAACTATTGAGCGTTGTCAAGAATGCGTTACCGAAGGTGCTACTGAAATACTTTATGGATCAGTTAATTTAAAAGCAGGATTCAAACGCTACCCCCTATGGTGGATGACGTATGTACAATGGGCTCATATAAAAAATAAACAACTAACTTATCAACAAAATCAACTTGCAATTATAAGGGTAAACTTTTTGGATAATTCACAATACAAGAAAGTTCATATAAGTAAAATTTCATTTATAAGCTAAAGAAATTTTTATTTCCAATTAAAAATAGTATTAAAGCAATTCGGTTATGTCATGCTATGTCGGTTATTTTTAAATTATTGCAGCTTAATGAACCAGTACCTGCTTCCATTAAAATAGCCGAAATACAAACAACCCAAAATAGCAACTTGTATGGGTCATTGGTGCAGACAGCTGGATGGGGGGCATTAATGATTGGAATGACTCCTAGGCTTATGCGAACTACTAGTTTAACAGTCTTAACCAACGAACAGTGCCAGCAAAAAATCAACCGACTTTATCCACGACGGCCATTCCAACTACAACCAACATATTTATGTACTAATGGAGATCACGAGGAACAGCACTGGCATTTGGTGAGAATTCATCCATTTATTTCAATATTCCCGCAATTTACTGTTAAACGGAGTTCCATTAGAATATTTCACTATGTATATGTATATATGCTTTATAGGTTAAGTATAAGATAATTGCTCGGTTGATGTATAATATCTCTACTCTATAACGTTTAAAGCAACTTAGTCTTTGGAATTATCTTCAGATGTGAAAAATTTAAAAATTTAATGATGCTTATATATGTATGAATGTATGCATATGTATATATATAGATTATAATTTGTAGTATTTAATTTTTATTATTTAGTAAATTAATATTATAATTTTTTTTTTTTTAATTAATAGAAAAGTTTATAACGATATAAGTAATACCTAATTATACACATGACTTTCTCATTTAATATTATTCAAATTTTTACTAATATTTTATTTAAGTAATTTAAGAAATTAAATTAAATATTGGTATAAAAAATTTCTATTATGTTTGAGGATTTAATGAACTTTGGTAAAAAAATTTATTATTTATCTATTTATATTAATTATTAAGTAATTGCTAATTAGAAATTGCATTTACAATAAGATAATTTTTAATTATTGAGATCATGATATAATTTTATATAATATATTTATATATATATGTAATACAATTTTTAAAAATATTTACCTTCCATCTAATATATAAACAAATTTTAATTAATTTATTATAATTTATAATATTAATTTATAGACAATATTAAATATCCATATAATAACAATAAATAATTAAATATTTTTTTAAATTTATCTAATTACTTTTTAGATGGATTTTGGCGGACCATTGATATTTGATGATAAAGTTATAGCGATTAATCAAGATATTTATCCAATGCCAACTAATCCTCCACATCCAGAGAAGCTAAATCTACATATTCGTCTTGATTATTATTCTGATTTTATTAGAGATGTTACAAATAATTTCTAAATTGTATAACAATTGTAATTTCAAAAAATTGTAGCTTCGATAAAAAATGTAATATATAATATATATATATATATATATATATGTAAAGCATATAAATGTAAAAATAAATGTAACAAATAAATACAAGTAAAAATTGTATTCATAATACAAATATTTATAAATTATTATAAATCATTTTAAGATCACAAATTTTAATAGCTATTTATTCATAATGATAAATATAGATTTTTATTTCAATAAATAGCCTAAGATTAATAAATTATAAATTATTCGTAAATATTTTGTAATATATATGTGATCGATAAATAACTTAATTATTTTTTATTATTTTTTATTATATATTTCTATAAATTTATATAATATTTATCGTCAATGTGTAAGGCTTTATTCTCTCGTATCTTAAATATTATAAATAATTATAATACCATAATTAATTAGGCAAAATAAGGATCGTTTGTATTATCATTATTTTAATCAATAATAAAGATTTTTAACTAATTAATACATTATAGCTGAATTTTAATTTATTATTAATAAATTAATTTTTTACATTGGTACAGCATAACTATAAATAAAAACTATTTTTATTTGGCTATATACTTTTAACCATTATTATAGTGATGATAAATTCAAGTTAAAGTAATATATTTAAATAAATATTTATAATAAAGTAAATATTTAATAAAAAGAAAAAAGAAAAAATTTATTGTTCAATTAGTTAAGTATATTTGACCAAATTATGCTCACTGAGTAGATTAATTTTCAAATTATAAATTGTGAAATATTTCATTTAGTAATATATGAAATTAATGGCATATTATGTTACTTATTGAAATATAACATATAAAAAACATAATTTCATATATTTATATATAATGTTAAAACAATGATTGAATTTACTTGAAAATCTTTTAAATGCATTAATATTAAATCATAAATTCTTTTATTTCTTTTTATTGTAAAACAAATTTTAATTATTAGTTGTAAAATTTTTGCCAGTTGAGTACTATTAGTACTAGTTTAAGAATTAATAAATAACACATATTCTATATTCCATAGAATAATAATTGCTTTGTACCAGAAGTCCGAATGTAATGATAATTGTAAGATGTAATATGATATTGTTAAAATGAAATACATTTTGAACAGTGTAATTGTAACATTAAAATAAAAAAAAAAAAAAACGATAAATAAAGGAGGTGAAAAACTATATTGATACAATTTTTTTTTAACGATTGTTAAGTATTTATCATTTATATTCAATAAAATTATCGATTCAAAAAATATGAAACATCACAACGTATAGATAAAGTGGAGATAAAAAATATATTTTAGTATGAATATTGATGTATGAGACAATTTAAAACAATTAATGATCATAGTGGAAAAGTGAATTGAGCGGATGATAAAATATTCAGCGTATAACATAATTATAAATAACTTTATTTTATAATATACATTCCTATTTTCTAATATATATATTCTTATTTTAAAATACGAAAATGATTATTTTTAATTTTGTTAGAATAATTATTTTTAATGTGATAAAATATATAAAATTAATTATGAAATTAAAGCTTGCCCTATTAAAAAAATCGATTAATTAACATCTGTAAATTATACATATTTATTTAGATTGTTTATAAAATTATTAAAAATAAATCAGATAAATATAATTAAATATATATAGTAAGAGTTTATAAAAATGATTATCATTAATTACTGATATTAATAATAATAATATGAATACAATATTTAAATGATATGATTTAAAATTTGATTCAAGTATTATTAATTTATATATAACAAATTTTTTTTAAATATACGTATTTATAATGAATATGTATTTACATATGATATCTATATTTACAAATGTAAAACATATTGTAATTATGTAAATATCGCATGATGTACTATCCGATATTTGTTTCATAAAACAATAAAAATTTCGGTATTTATATTTAACATTTTTAAATGAGATAAAAAATATGAGTTTTTTAGTATAAATGAAATTGATATACTTTTGCATAAGTATCATTTGATATTTAATATTTCTTATAAGATTACATAAAATTATCTCCTACTTATTGTAAAGTCGAAATATATGTAAAAGTATTGTATATTTAATATTGAAAGAAATTTAATATTCAGTAATAATATAAGATTACATATTCAATGTTTAATTTGGAATTTTTCTTTTGCAAATAAAAAACTTTTGTATTTCAATGTTTATAACATTTTTATATTCTGCATTGAATCGTGTGTGAAATGAATATGAAATATATTTCAGTTTTTATTATTAAATATTATTTTTAATGAGATATAAAAATAAATTGAAAAAGAATAATTGTATTTTAATTTATTTTATATTATGATATTTTGTATACTAGCATTTAATTATATATATATTTAATTAGAAAAATTAATTTAAATTAACATATGCAATATTTCAAACTATTTAAAATTGTTATGATCTTTTTATGAATTTATAATCGGTTGTAAAAATTTATGTTATTAAAAAAAAAAAAAAAAAAAAAAAAATTGGGTTTTTTGATAATTTTTTACTATTATGCGAATTATATTTTTATTAGAGTGGAGTAAAATAATTATATGACATCGGAAAATATTTACAATAAATTCATATAAGAGTCTTTTTAAATATATAGATTTGTTTTCTGTTTTAAAATGCGATTCAGTATCTATGTATTTTTCATTCAATTTATAGCATTTTGTAAGTATCAAATATTCAATATTTCAAAACATAAAATCATTAGATTCATTATTATTATTATTATTAATTATTTTAGATATTTTTAGATTATTATTAGATATATTTACATTATTATTATTATAGATTCAAACAATTGAATCAATCTCGTTATTATTGAATACATTTTCGTTAAAATGTAAAAAGTATTATATATTTTAGGCAACCAATGTAGATTGACAATTGGAAAACCGTTGATTGGGGAGAATGTCAGAAAAGCTCTGTTAAATGAATTTATATCTACCGTCTCTATTCATTACATTAATGCAAATAATCCAACTCCAGAAACTAATCATGATTGTACAGGAGTACTTATATCAAGAAAAAATGTATTAACGGCTGCACACTGTTTCAAGAAATATAAATTAGCAGATGTTGAAATAATTGCTGGATCAAATGATCTTAGAGGAGGACTCAAATTTCATCCATTATGGTGGATAACTTATAACAAATGGGCTAGAGAGAAGGGATTACGGCGTCGGTATAGGGAAAATGATATTGGTATTATACGGGTAGGTTATATTTTCCAAAATATTGTATAGCGTTTTTCAATAAACAGAAGGATTAAAAAAAAAAAAATTCATTTTATGAAATTTCGCACAAATTTTGATATCCTCTAATAATATTGTTTATTACATGATAATATTATATATTTAGTTGGTGAGAATAGTTGAATTTTATAATTAATTTTCGTTTTAAAACAAAGTAATATAATTATTTCAGTTAAGTATGCTTGTTCCAGTATTTATTTATCCAATTATTCTTTCAACAATGTCAAGTGAAAGTTACTATGGAACAATTGCTCTGGCAGCAGGATGGGGTAAAACACTTAATGGTGAAACTCCTAGATTAATGGAAACTGTTGAATTGACAATATTATCAAAAACAGAATGCGAAAATAAAATTGAGGAACAATATGGATCTAGAGTTATTATTGATGAAAGATACTTATGTAGTTTTGCAGATCCACATGCTATACTTAGTAGCGTAAGTATCAATTTATTGTAGAAAATTCATAATAGTTGTAGTGCAATAATGAATTTTGCTATTCGACTGTTTTCATACTAATTTCAATAATTTAATATTATAAATTCTTTTGATAATTAGCTTAAAAATATATCATTTTCATATTTTTTATTTGTAATATTTTAAATTGTTTTCAATTTTAACATTAAATAGATAAATGGTAACTAATAAAACTGAATTGCAAATAATATAAGCTACGTATGAGGTTAACTTTTATTATTGTTTATATAATGCTACGCGATAGTAGGAAATATTAAAACAAAAAAGTATAAGGAATATTTAAATTGAAAATTATATTTTTTATTTCAAACAATATTTTATACTTAAAAATATAAATATAACAGCATGAAATGCTTTTTAACAGTTAAGAATTCTGGCTTACAATAATAACTAATTATTTAATAAATATTTTCATTGATCATTCAAATAATAATAAAAATATTAAATTATTATATTGTATTGAAAAATACTTTTCTATAATTAATATTGTTCTTATAAGACATTTGAAATAAGATAAGATTAAATCAAATTAATATTAAATTCTTTATCTCTTCTAATTATCTAGTATTATTACGTTATTATTGGAGGATATGTTTCTTAAAATAATTAGTAATTTTAATTTTTTAATATTCGTAGTGTAATACATTTTTTAAAATTAATAGATATGAATATGTATATAGCAATATTGAGTGATAAAGCATTTTTAAGTGTATCGACGCTGCTTTAGTAATATATGTTCTAAAGCATTTTTTACAATTTCGAATCATATCATAATAAATAATGTTAATATTGTGACAGATTATGTAAAGTATCTTATATATAAAAAAAATATGAACTTTTTTTATAAATTAATTGAACTATCAATGTGTAATAGTTTTTACGTATTAAAAATAAAACTATTTTCTTAATTATCCATAAAACTAAAATAAGATATTTGAAGAATAAGAAATTTGATTAAAGAATATTAATGAATTTAAATATTATACAATTCTTTCCTATAAAATTAATGAAAGATAATCTTATTTTTTTTATCTACATAAAAGACACTCTCTATAACAACATATATTGCTTTTATAGTTTTCATTATTACAATTCATTATTTTACTCATTATTTTATTACAAGTAAAAATATAAAAATAGCAAATCACTCAACGTTATCGGAATTTGTGTTGAATTTATTTAAAATTACGTAGTATTAATTTATGTTATATGCATTCTATTTTTATTTTCAGTTTAAGTTTATTCAAAGGTCTTTTAAATTTTCGACTTTATGCAAAATTTCCAACAGTTGCATTTATATGTTTTATTTTTTTTATAGCTTAAATTAAATTTAACTTATGCTATTTAATTCTTTTTATATTCGATTATATTCGATGTTTGGATTTTCATTGTTTAATATTATCAGGCTTAATACATTTTACTTTATTTATTATTGATCGGAGATATAACAATTTTTTTTGTAATTTTTAATTTCCATTCGTACTGTCATTATTATTATTATTATTGTTGTTGTTATTATTATTATTATTATTATTATTGTTATTATTATTATTATTATTATTATTATTATTATAAGATTGAAGCCATTTTAAAGTGAGCATTAAAAATAATTATGCACAATTTTTTCAGTCAATGCTGCTAAATGATTTTTTTTTATATTTATGATATTATTTATTTACTTATAATTTCTTTTCTGCTTTATTTGTGAAAATGTAGTATTTTAATTTAAAAACCACTTGTGTTTCCTAAAATATTAAAAACATCTTTTAACAAAAGTAATTATTTGAATAAATGTTATGAATAAAAAATTACTTCTAAGTAGTTTAATCTCGTTTTAGATATCAATAATTCATTCAATAATCAATTCACTATTCGCCTAATTTAATTACCAACATAAAATAAAAGAATTAAAAATTTTACGATAGTTATGAGTATTGTTTATAAGAGTCAATGATCCTGTAAAACAGTACCGAGTTGTTTTGTCATCTTTTCAATCTAGTTTACGGAGAATTACAGTACAAAAATACGTTAAATTGTATTAACAACAAAAATATTTTTCAAAGTCAGCATTGTCTTGAAACATAAATTATTTGAAATATTATTTAAAAAATATTTTCCGAATAAATGTTATCATTTCTCACGATCAGTCTAGTATAAAATTATTGTATTGTATTTGTTATTCTATAATTTTGCATAATATGCCTTTTAGATTTATACTAGTTAATGTAAAAAAATGAAATGAAATTTATTTAATGATGTGATTAAAATACGTAAAGTATCACTATATAAATATTTTTAGGGAGACAGTGGTGGACCATTAATGCGTATGGGTAGCCTGATAGGAATTAATAAATCAACATGTCCATATCCGGATATTGAATTTCATCCGAAAAAAGTTAATATTCATTTCAGTGTATTTTTTTATAAAGATTTTATTTTGGACGTCAAAAATAATTATCATTAAATATATCCGATTATAAAAATCTTAGCAAATAATGTAATTCATACATTGAAATAAAATTATAAAATATTATTTATGGTAATAATTTTAAAATAATTTTGTAATTAATATTGTATATATTTATTTTTAATGAAATAAAAGTGAATTTAATAAAGTGCATGGTATGTTTTATTTTTTTATTATTTAATTAATTTAAATTATAGCACTACCAAGTGAAAAGAAAGTCTACGATATATTAACAACAATCTAACTATATTATCTATACTATATGGTTTAATAACAATCGGCTTTTCGTATATCAATTTAAAATTACTTTTTTTATCGACATATTAAATATAAATAATTTGATCTGAATTATTAATATTAGACTATTGAAGAAATCTTTTGAAGAAATGTGGTGTTGTATTTACAATCCAATACTGCCTTCCAATATAATTTATTTGAACGAAAAAAATATATAAGGTAATATCTAGCTTAATTATAATTTAATGTTTAATATTTTTAATACCCGTGGAGGCTATTTACTTAATTATATATCAGCAAATATAAAACTTAACTTCAAATAATAAACTTCAAAGTTCTTTTTCCTATCTCTCACCTCAATCTCTATTGAATACTTATTTATTTATTTTATTTAGACTAATTTTTTTCCTTGCTCTGATTTATTATTATATTTCTTAATTTTATTTTCTTTTTTATATATATATTTTGATATTGTGATAAAGTATCATTATTACCTTAGGCAATCCTCTTTGCGTGTGATGAAATATATGGATATGCAAAGTAATTTTACGATAAACAATTTTTGAAATAATGATTGCAAGTTATGTCTCAGCCAAATACACATATTATTCTAGTTTTTCTAATTAAGATATTTGTGAAAAAATAATAAGAAGGTTAAATTAAATGTAAACATTACGAATATAATTTTATTAATATACTATTACGTTGGCTTAAATATTTTTTAAATACGAAAAAAAAATTATGCAAATGAGAAAACTAATGTGACATTAAATATACTCAGCTATTTCTTAACTGATTAGAATTATATAAATAAAGCAATTGTAATGCTCAATTGTAGGTTATCAGAGATTAAAAAAAGTTTATAAAAGCATGTAAGAAACTGTGTATTATAATACTTCTTATTTAATAATTCATTTTTAGTAAAATTATAAAATTGATGTGAAATGCAAATACAATATCTTGAAAAGGATTATGTGCGTAAATAAAATATTCGTAAATTTATCTCACAATATTCTTACCATTTATCTAAATGAGTTTTGAATATGTTTTTTATTTATTTATTAAAAAAATATTTTATCTTAAATACATATTAATATGAAGTTAATTAGTAATAAAATTTATTACTCAATTCTAATAATTGATTAATTATATGTATAATATCGCCTTGTAAATAATTAATCACAAGCAGCGCAATAATTAGAAAAAAATTGGTTATTAAATTTACAAACAATAGATGATCTAAAAGTTGATAAATGTAAATTTTGAAGGCATTATAGAATTATTTTGAAATATCATTTAAAAACTTATAAACTTATTTAAAAGTTTATTCTATTTTGGTAAAAATAAATTCTATTTTATAAACGCAATTTTAAAATACTATCAATTTTTTCTATTTTCTTTTAATTTCTTGTTCAAAATAATGATAATATTATTTAACACATAATCTATAAATTTTATTTTAATTTAGCATGAATACCAATAAACAAGAAAATGGTTGAAATTGCTATATTAATTATAAATTTTTCATATTATTTATATTAGTATATTTTAATTACAAATTATTTTCATTTTTTGAAAAATATTTACTAAACAAATTAATTTCTACGTATTCATTTGTTATGTAAATTGTATTATAAATCAAGAATACCTTACTATTTTTATCATTTCAGTTTGTTTAAGTCCATATGCCTAGTTAAGTATATTATAATCATTCTATAACGCACATACATATGATTAAATACGTATTTTTATATATATTGGATATTTTACGTATATATTTTTATCACAATATTATAATGTGATAAATATTATGTAAAAAATATTGTACATACATACACGTACATATGAATAAATACGTATTTTTATATATATTGGATATTTTACGTATATATTTTTATCACAATATTATAATGTGATAAATATTATGTAAAAAATATTGTACATACATACACGTACATATGAATAAATACGTATTTTTATATATATTGGATATTTTACGTATATATTTTTATCACAATATTATAATGTGATAAATATTATGTAAAAAATATTGTACATACATACACGTACATATGAATAAATACGTATTTTTATATATATTGGATATTTTACGTATATATTTTTATCACAATATTATAATGTGATATTGATATTGTATGTGTAATTTATGTATTTAATATTTATAGAAGTAGATAGATAGATAGATAGATAGATAGATACAGATAGAGAGAGAGAGAGAGAGAGAGAGAGAGACGGATGACGGAAGAAGTGATAAAATAACAACTTTAGCTAGATCAATAATTTAAATAATATAATTTAAGTGGTATAAAATAAATTAATTTTTATAATATTATTATGAATCATTATGATAGCAACACATAAATTATTTGTATTAATTTCAGAATAAAATAATTTCAGGATATAATAAAGAAAAGAATAAATTACTTCTGTCCAGTATTCTTGACAAAAAAAAGTTATCATTTTTATTTATAATTCATTTGTATTATTTATTTATATTCATTTATTCATCCAATTGTCTAATATATTCTATTTTATCGAAATATTTTGATATGATAATAAATTATGTACAGTCAATGATATTTTGTTTGTTCAATAGTGCTTTTAACACATATATATCTTTTCTTTTTTAGTATGCTGATCAATTATTATTATTTGCTCATACAACTTATAGTATTTTGTAAGTAGTTACAAGCGTTGAATGCTTTTCTCATAAATATAAAAGTTAATTTTCTTCTTCTTTTTTTATTACTCTTATTTTAATAAAACTTACATTTTTAGGCTGTCAATATAAATTAGTAATTTTAAAAGCTATAATAGGGGTTAATATTAAACAAGTACAATACGATCAATTTCCTTTTGTTGTATCAATCAAGTATAAAGATGATAGAAATAATCAAGTAGAGCTTGATCACGTTTGTACGGGAATACTTATTTCAAGGCAGGATGTATTAACAGCTGAACATTGTTTTGCAAATTTAGAATTAAATGTAACTGAAATAATCGTTGGATCCAGTGACTTGAATGAAGGTATCAAATATTATCCATTATGGTGGATAACGTATAATGAGTGGATTCTCCAAAAGAATATGCATAGACAGTTCAAGGAAAACGACATAGCTGTCATACGAGTAAATTATCTTAGAAAGTTTTTATTTATTAAATTGAAAATCCTACAAAAATTGAAATATTATCAAAGACATATGCTTTCCATCCATTAATAACTTACAATTTTAAATAATTTTAAATAATTGTTTTTAGTTAAATACAAAAGTCTTGGAAACAATACGGTTAGCAATTCTATCTACTCTGTCGACGTACGATTTGTATGGATTAAAAGTTGAGACTGCAGGATGGGGCAAGTCGAATAATGATAGATCTCCAAGGATTATGGAAACTGTAGCATTGAGAGTCTTAAGGATCCCAGAATGCGAACATAAAATCGAGAAACTTCGTGGACAAAGAATTCATATTCCTACAAGAGTTCTTTGTACTGTTGGAGAACCGTATGCGTTGTTAAATCACGTAAGCTATACATTTTACACACACAAACACACACACACACGCACACACACACACACACACACACACACACACACACACATTTTTTTCTTCTTATTCATATTATCGTAATATTTAATGTTATTATAATATTGTAAAGTTTTATTCCCTTGAGTAATAATTTTTAATGAACACAAATTGAATATTTATTAGAATAATTTCATTATGCATTTATTATTTTTTTTTTATTTTGAATTTAAATTTATATAAAATAAATTGCGTTTCAAGTCGATGACTTTTTATACCTTCAAATAAATACATAAAATATTTTTCCATATTATATTGATGCTTAAAAAGAACTTTTGATATTTATATTAATATTATTTCATATATTTTAATTATTTGTATTAACTTAAATGAATACGATATGGTTTATTCATCATATTTCATGTTGGTATACAAAATTTTGTAAATAAATTATTATTAATTTTTTATTTTTACTGATTAATATAGAATTTATAGGCATTAATTTTAATTATATAAATTGTAATAAAATACTATATATACTTTATAAACTATTATTATTTAGGGTGACAGTGGAGGTCCTCTCCTATACAACGATACTGTTATAGGTATTAATATGTCAACGTGTCCGAAATTAAGACAACAAATTCATCGGGGACAAGTTAATCTTCATGTATATATTAATTACTATAGAGACTATATTATTGATGTCCAGAATAATTTTTAAATGGAGTAATGCATTGTAATAAGATCTAAATATGCCATTAAAAATGAAATAAGAATGCAGGTGCAACGCGGAGGTATATAACGTTATTTTCTCATGGAATTATAATTTACTGAAATTACATTGAGAAGTTTCTCTTTCTATTTATTGTTTATAATGTATTAATTTTTTTTTTCTAATCGAAATTTAAAAATAAAATTAATTTATGTATGAAAGAATCGGAATGTTCTTGATTTTCAAAATATTATGTTTTTAATATCAGGTAAAATAACTTATTTAGGCATTAAAATACAAAAGTTCATCGTTATATTTTTGTTTAAATTAAACTGTATTTATTTTATATTTTATTTAATCAATAAATTTTTATAAAGTCAATCATGTTTTTTTTTTTATATTGCTTTCGTATTGTTTAAACTCAGTTTTATACTAAGTAGTTTATAATCATTTCATTTGCATTTTATTTTATGTAAATTATTTTCAGTCTCAATGATTAAATTAATCAAAGTTTATTTTCATAATGAATTTATACTATTACAAATGTCATATTATCATTTTTCAGAGACAAGTGGATTATGTAATATTGTATAAGTAGTAAATAGAGAAACATTAAAAATACTAAATTTCAGTTAAAATTACAAATATATACAAACTGAAATAAAATACATTTGTATCAACAATAAATTACATTCGATTTGATGCAGTAATATATTACAAGCTGATTAAAAAATATAAATATATACATACTCATATTTTTTCATTATGAAAATAATCATAATCATAACAACTTGCTTTTATACGATTACTTTCAGGTTTTGTTTATTTTTTAATTAGAATTTATAATTACCAATTACATTTATAATTAATGATCAATATTAAAAGTACTAATGATGTCAGATTTTATTGTTTCTAATAACCCTATTATATATAAAAGTGAAGAAAGGAGTTTAAATCGATATAAATCTATACTGTTGAGTGCTATAAATAACATAGAATAACTATAAATAATATTTAGAACGAAGTGGTTAAAAATAAACATTTTTTGAAATCAGATTAAATATATTTTTTCATTTATAATTATATTATAAAATGTAACTATATTTATAATACACTTAATAATATATTTAGTATATTTTTTCAATATTGAATGGATAAGAATCGAGAACGTATGATAAAATAAATAATTAAGACATGAAATATGATTTGACGATTTTATTTAAATTATAATTTCAAATTGTAATTCGTACAGAAGATTTTTATACTCATGAACGTCATGGATTAAATAAATTCGATAAATAACCTAAGGTTCATTTTCTTGTCGTATTGAATTAGTAAATTAAAAATTTACATTACACAGATATAATATGGTCCAAATAAAATGCTTTAACAATTTAATAATTTATAGAATAGTTTAAAATATTTTCTATCAATAAACAATCTATCAATAATCACAAGTCAATCAACATCAGTTATTTTATTATCCGAGAGAAAGGTTCTTATTATTCTTTAAACAAATCATTTTTAATATATATATTTTTACTATTTAGTGTACTTTTTTAAAAATACCTACGTTTTTGTACTTAATATTATTCGATAAAAAATTTGGAAATAATACTAGATTCTATGTTTCTAATCACATTAATCTAATTAAACATTCTATTATTCAATCTTCTAAATTATTCTTCTTTAAAATTAAGCATTTTATCTATTCAAGGCAGTTTACTTGAATTAATTGAAATATAAATCTAATCGTATTTCGAATTTTACGAACAATCAAAAGATCTGCAAATCGTAGAAGAACCTCAAATACTAGAAATTATTATAATAAAATATTTTAATGTAGATTATGAAATAGGAATTATAAGTACGGAAAATTTTGTATTTATAAAAGGATTTTATCAAATTAAAAAAATTATTACAGATTATTGTAGCCCGTATAGGCTTCCAGGTCGATTTAAATTTTAATATTAACTTTATCATAATATTTTCTTGTTAAATTAATATACTACTGTCATCACAATAAAAAGAAATAATTAATAAGAATTAATAAAATCAAATAATATAAATATTTATTCATTTAATTAGTTATATGAAATTTATTTCAATTATGCAAATTACAATGTTTATCTTGAAAATATTATTTCTATTTATAATAAAGTATTTTAGTAATTACTTTATTTTATATTTATTTACTTCTTTAATTATTTGGTCATAGAAAATATGTATTGTTAATCTATAAGTAAAATAGTAGCCCAGGACTTCATATAATTTCAAACATTGTACAAAGTATTTACGTATGTATGTGAATTATAATTTTACATCTTTGGATGATAAAGTCGCTAATTCTAGTCATTTCGTAATTACTTAAAAATTTCATTATTGCTATAAACGTAAGCAAATATTTTGCTAACAACAACAAAAAAAGCAATAATAGATTATATGATTAATAGTATATTTATATTTAATAGGTTTAGAATTTAAAAACATTTGCAGTATTTTTATATTACGTAATCATTGCATCATAAGTAGAGGATGTAGATGTGATAACCTATCTGAATAATTAATCGTGATAAGAAAGATTTGATAAATAAATATGAGTATTATATAAAGCAGTATGAGATTCATTAAATTAACATTGTATTCAATTAAATCAGTATAAAATTGCAACGTGTTATTTTTCAATTAATGTATATTACACAAATAATTATCATTTATATTTATTAGGAGCCCAGGTTGTGTATTTTTCGTTGTAATATTAAATATAATTTATGAAACAACGAATATAGTTCTAAATTCCTTATTATAAATATAATTTAAAAATTAATAAATTTATTGGTATTTATATAGAATATATAACATTACAATATATATATATATATATATATATATATAAATATATTTGTTTTAATATGTAATTTTCTTTTTTGTTAGAAATCATAAGAATGAATTATATGATTCATTGTATAAAAAATGTACATAAAAAATCGCATTTTTGTATTTTCGAAAAAAGTGCAATTTTCTTTTTATAATTACATTGAGTATTTACATCATTCATATATATATATATATATATATGTGATATTTTAATGAAATAAAATTTGTTACAATTATTAAATTCTGTATATTATTAGAGTCCATGAAAATTGATTTTAGAAGAAAAGTGACTTAAATCTAATATCTTAATATTGCAATGATTTAGAAATTAGAAATAAAAGAATTAAAAGTTGTAAAAAGCTAGTATATGAATTGCTTTCGGATATTACATATTAAGCAAAAAAATATTAATATTCCAAATACTTATGCAAAAAATGAGTAATAAATTCCGACTGAAATATATTATTAAAAGTTTCAATACTATATAGACATTATTTTTAAATTAAAATAGGAAATTTTTTAATGTAATATTAATTTCGAGTTAAAAAATTAATGAGATATTTAAATCAGAATTTTTGTTACTCAATTAGATCTATAAACCATATTATAATACTAATATAATAGCTTTTAAAAACATTGATTTGTAATTCGAAAACATTATTTGAAAGGAATTAAAGATGTGTTATAAAAATTAATGAAGTAGGACTGAAACATTGCAAGAAAACATAAACTTTTGTACTGATAAAATGTTATTACATTATGTAATTAAATGAAGCATTGTGTAGTATTGATGAAATTAAAATAAAGCATCGTATGAATTATCTTTAAAAGATCATTATTTTATGTTACTGGACCTTTTTTATCAAAGAGTGTTTATTTAATATTTGTATATAATCATATTGTACTAGTTCCATATATTTTTAAAGTAACAACAATTTTCCAACGATTCTCATTATATATTTTTATAATATAATATTCATGTTGGAATGAAGTTTCTTTTCAAATTACATTGCATACGATTTGAGTATATAATAAAAAATATTATATATACTCGAATAATAATAAAAAATAATACTATAAGCGATGTATATTCGCTTTACGTTTGCCTAAGCCATCAACCGATTTATGGCAAAAGTGAAACTGAATGCGATAAAACATTAATAATTTGTTTCAAATCAATCGTTTAATTTTAAATTCTAAAAGCAATAGTTTTTGCCAAATATTCTTGAATAAATGTACGTTGAATGAAATATATTTTCGTTAGTTTACATTAGTAATCACCTTTATATATTATATATTATTATTGGAAAATATATGTAGAAAATATGTAGAAAAAGCATGTAACTATAACTAAAATTTGGTTGTAGATATATCCAAAAAATTTCGGAGAACGTTATGATTATACAGAGTTTATTCAGAAAATTTTCAGTCTATCAGACATTATTTATTGCGAATAGCATTTAAATAATACAAGCAGTATATTAAAACTGCCTGCCAGCACAAGTTTTATTAATAAATCAATATATCGTTATGTTTAGCCTAAGACTAGAAATATATATATTATTTTCTTTCTATTTTGTACTTTGTAAGTAATCAAAAAGACTCTAATATCTATTACAAAACACATAACGAATAATTTAAGAGTAACGACTGAATAATATCATCATTTTATTAAAGCAAATATTATAATCTTTTAGGGATTCAAAATGCTTTGGTGCATTCAAGATGTATGATTGGAGCCAATGTTAGAGATGCAATGGAAGACGAATTTTCTTATGTTGTATCAATTTCTCGTATTGATTTAGAAGATGCGAGTAAGCCCAATGAACATTTCTGTACAGGAACACTTATTACGCGGCAGGATGTCTTGACTTCGGCACATTGTATGGAAAGCGAAGCACTGTCTACAACTTTGGTAATTGTTGGGTCGATTAATTTAACGGAAGGTATCACGTATAAGCCATTATGGTGGATAACTTATAATCTGTGGACTGATATGAAGGAAATGCAACGAAAATTTACAAATAATGATATTGGCAATTTAAGGGTAAATTCTCCATTAAATATAATTTTACAATAGTTCATATGATATTTCTATATATGATAAATTCAATATATAATTTTAAATTCTTTTTAATCGATAATAATTACTCAGTATCGTAGAGAGTCTTAATTCTATCGTAAATATCCATAAAATGTAATACGATAATGCTAATTATATGATTGTTGAACTACAATAATGCTTATCATATTCTATTATAAAATATTAATAGAATTATAATTAAAACCAAAACCCTTTTAGTTATATCATGAAGTACCCGAAGAGATCGTACCAGCTTCCATAATGCAGATGCCAAATTCCAATTTTTATGGATTAAATGTTCAAATTGCATCGTGGGGTGACAGAGAGGATGGTGTAACTCCTATAAATATGAAAACAGTTATATTAAATATCTTATCAAACACTGAATGCGAAAGTAGGATTAAAGGACTTTGCGGACAAGATGTTCCAATCAAAGAAAATCGCTTATGTGCTGTTGCGGATCCATTTGCTTTGATGTACAGAGTAAGTAAAAAAATAAATAATATTGTTTTCTCTTAATTATTGTTAAATTTTTTACATTTTTAATTGATTCGATTTAAGATTAAAAAACAGCACATTCTATATTTTAAAATACTACTAATTTCTGAATAATTAAATTTAATAATACTATGTATGATATTATGATTATTTATATTAAAGGTTTAAAAATATAATTTTAACAAAATTGTTTGCTTATTATGTAATATTTTACTATTGAATTATTGAATTGTTGAAGGAGTCTTTAAATAAAAGTATTTAAATTCTTATGATTATTTTGTGTGAAAAACGCTTAGAACTTTAAATCGACTTAAAAAATGCTTTTTTACATTTAAAACAATAATGAACAGACACTGAATTAAAAACTTTTGATTTTTCGTTTAATGTTACCTATTTCTTTTATTACATAAAAATGAGTAAATAATAGCATATTAAAGATTTACATTAATTAGCTGTAATTATCTTAATGAAAATGTGGCATAATTATGAATTAATTGTTAAAATTATGTAGGACAACAAGATTGAAGATTAAATTATGAAACTATTAAATTTAAGAAATTATTTTATTACAAGAGCAATATTCATATCTAAAATGGTAGATATTTTTTTTTATATTCAAGAACTTGTAACATAAGTTAAAAATATGAAAATAAAAAGTAATTTATATAAAAAAAGCATTGATTTGTTTAAAAAAACTAAAAAAAAAAACAACATAGACAAACAAAAGTAAATAACTTAAATTTATTTTTCTTAATTCGTAAATTTTTTTATAGTAGAACAATTTTATATACTATATACGCAGAAAATAAGGTTTACACATATATTTTTATTCTGTGTACTTATTATAATATTTTGTAGGGTGACAGTGGTGCTCCACTTTTATATATGGGATCAGTAATAGCTATTCATGAGGCAACGATTCCACTATTTGATGAACCTTTTCATCCAGAAAATGTAAATGTTAATATTGATATTAGTTATTATTTGAACTTTATAATTGCTGTAACTAATACAAATTTTAGATACTCGTAACGTATCTTTTTTATTCATATGTTCAAATATGATAAATAATAATACAGTTGAATTATATGAGATTGTTAAATATAAGCATAAATCGAAATAGTTATGCTTCTATATATAAAAAAATGTATGTTAAAATAAAAAGATCTCAAAAAATTTATGCACATATTAAATTTTATTTTAATATACCATTAATCCTTAATTATTTATTATGATTTAAATGATTATGATGAATTATAAATTAATTTCACTTGTAAATAAATAAAGATTTAAAATACCATATAAATATAATTGTTATTTTTCTTAAAAAACGAATTTATTCAAATAAATATTTAATTTAATTATCTTATTTAATGCATATGACGATGCGATGATATATCTCGGATGAAAATGTAATAGCTTTAGCGAGTCAGTTAATCTGCATTAGATCTAGTAGTATGATAGTAAGTAATACCTCTTTCTTTACTCTCTTTTGTTTAATGAAATGGCAAAATTATCCAACTACAGATGACTTATTGGAAATTTCTTTTATATATGCTAATTCGTTTGAAATTCAGTAGACAGAAAGAATTATGTGCGTATAAAAAATTATTTAGTATATCAAGACTTACGCGTACTTTATTACAAATTTATTTATTTTTATATATGTTATAATTGAGCTAATATATTACTTTAAGAGGTATAAAAAATTTAACTATTACGGATTGTAATGTAATTTTTTTGTTTTACTTTGATATTAAAGGGTTAATTAAATTAATTCATTTTATCTTGTAGAAATTTTCAGCTGCCTATAGGAATGGATATTTTCATTTTAAATGCATCAACTACATCTCATTTGGAGAAAAAATTGATAAAAGTATCTTTTTGCCAATAAGAATATTAATAATGTCCATAGCATAAAATTCTTAAATGTCACATAGCATTAATTAGTATTATTAATGAATTCATTATATACAGAATTTACATAAGGGGGAGTAAGAACAGTTATAAAATAAAAGAGTAATGGATATGAAATCATATGATTTGTAATATAAATCACAACGAAGAGTAATTATTGATTAAAATTATAAAATATATAATTTTAAATTAAATTTTGAAATTTATTTTGCATAAGTAATAATTATTCTCTATTTTATTTCATAAACATTATTATATTCAAACTTTTTATAAGAAAATACAGAAGATTGCTAAAAAATACTTTTTCCACGTGGTACTTTATACTCGATGATTTTTACAATTATTCAAAATTTATGTTAGTTTGTATGTAAAGATTATTATTGAAATTTTTATCTATAGATTTTCATTTGAAATAAGATTATTTGAATTCTGAAGTTCCTCTATTATTTTAGGAGTCATATTCTACTATGAAATTTAATTTAATTATTTGAATATACGGAGTTGAATAAACTAAATATATGAATATGATGTATCGTTTATTATAATATTATAATAATTTCATAGTACGGTTATGTTATATTTATAATTCAATAGATTTTTTTCTTTTTTAACAGTAATGCTTTTTTTTTTTTTTTTTAATTATACATCTATTACATATATATATATATATATATATATATATATATTATTCATTTAAAATTACTTGTTAATCCTCTTTTGTATATACCAAGCCGATTAAAAAACTAATAGAAAAAGTGTTTTATTTTTATAGCGCTTATATTTATTTTTTATAATAATAATAATAATAATATGTAATAATTATTCTAATTGTTCAATTGTTATAAGAATATTATTCATAAAGAAGTTTAAGTATATTTGTTTATAACTAAATTGAAAAATTGCAATAATTATATATTTATATATAATTAAATTCGTCTTTTCAATTAAAAATATTTAATTCAATGTGGTTTTTACTTATTATATTGTTCATAAAATGGTGGCATATTGTTTAAATATCTTTCATAAGAAGTTATTTAATTGAATTAGAGGCCAATATTGTTTTTACATTTATTTTAAAATTAAGTAAATTTTGAGTATTACAATGATTTTAAACTTATATAGTAGAACGTGCAGTTTTATATAATTTACGATTTAGTGAGCATAAATCATATTTTAGGTGTGAGTTTTGTTAGTATTGTGAAGCAGATAATTAAAGTGAGCTTTAAAAAATTACGGAGATTAAACAATGATTGAGCTTCGTAATTGATTAGAAAAATATGTTTTAATATAAAGTATTTAAAAAGGTCAAGTTACAGTATATTTATATATATATATATATATATATATATATATTTATATATACGTTATTCGTTATACGTAATATATATATATATATATATATATATATATACGTTAGTTTTATTTATAATTAATTCTTGAATATTATATTTGTAATCATAAAAATTTAATTTTTAAAAAATGAACAATTAAATTTATGGCTTGCAGTGTATAAAATATATATGATAAAATGAAGCAAAAATATAATTACATATTACTTGTACGTTAAATTTAAATTAAACTTAAATTTTTAAAGTTCGATTTTTCCATTAATCGTTTTAGTATGCAATTTGTAAAATCATTGTTAGTCACTCAATGTATATTATTTTGTAAGTAAATATTTTTTCCAGCTTATAAATATTGGAATCTTATATAACTTATAAAGAAAATTATTATTTTATAGTTATTTTAAATAATTACGTAATTGCGAATCCTTTGTTTGGCTCAAATATTAGAGATGTAAGGCCGAACGAATTTCCATTCATTGTTTCATTATTGCGATTGGTAAACAGTGATCTTAGAAACAACGATACTCATATTTGTACAGGATCACTTATTACATTACAACATGTATTAACTGCAGCTCACTGTTTAGAAGATGAAATTATAACGAACGTTGTAATACTTGTCGGAACACATGATCTAAGACTCGGAACTAGACACACTATAAAGTGGTGGATAACTTACAACGAATGGTGTCAGTACATGGAAATAGAACTTGTATTCCGTGTTAATGACATTGCAATTATAAGGGTAAATTTATTGTCTAGATAATTATATTTGATTTTTTCAATGAAAATATATTTGTATGTATAATTCGTTCTTGAACATCTATAAAACTAAAAACATTAATATTATTATTAGTTAAACAGGTTTGTATCTAGGCGATTACAGTTGGGAGTTATTTCGTCTATCGCAACTTCCCGATTATATAATAGGAACGTGGTAATAGCTGGATGGGGTCGTAATGAGCAAAACACAGTTCCTGAAATAATGCGTACAGTTATATTAAAAGTATATACAGCGAAAAAATGTAACGATATTGTTTCAACACGAAGTGGTATAAGAATGCAAATACATAGTAGGCATATTTGTACTTATGCAAATCCTTATGCAATAGCGCATTTCGTAAGTAGTTAGTTATAAGATTTCAATTTTAATAATTTTTTTTTTAACGATTAGTTTTATATAAACTAGAAACAATAATTAATAATTTAATTATTATGAATAATATTTAGGAACAATAACATTGCGTGGGTAACGGTAGTTGGAACAATTTTAATTAAATTTCAATTAGTTTAAAAACAGAATGATTGATTGAATTCAATTAAAACTTATAACTTGAAAAACAAATTACAACTCCTTATTAGTTTAAATATTTAAATAACATATATTAAATTCTATATATCTATGTAAGTGAAAATTAATTAATGAATTTTTAAATATCATGAATATAATATTAAACATTGATAACATGATAAAGCATAGATAAGGAGATAATTAATAATTTATAATAATTCTTTGTCCCATATTTCCATATAGTATCAATTTTCAATATTACCATATTTAATTATACTTAAAAATATTTGATTGCATTATTATTATACATTATTATACATTATTGGAGTAACTGTATATATAAATATTATAAATATATAAATATATAAATATATAAATAGTATATTGGTGTAAATGACATATATATTTTATTAATTAAACAATAGGTTTAAAATTGAGTTTATAGACTAGAAAAATGTAAAAAAAATTAAATATTCTTCATTATCTTATAAATATATTATGTTCTATTATATCTCTCACATATTTATTTACCTTATACTTTTAAGATAGATTTTAATAAATTTGATTCGCGTCTGAATTAAATGCCGATTAGTGTTTTAAGTAATTGAATAATATGCAATTATATTTTTAATTTTTTACTTCAAATTATACATTTTTTTTATAATATCATATTTCTCATCTGCTATAGTGTGATATAATGTGAAATGTATTGAACCTTGAATGTTTCATAATATTAAACGAACATTCAACCTTAAAATTTAATAAAATAGTTTAAATTTATGTTCCGACAATGTTGAAAGTGATTGCTCCGGCCAACTAATTTATTATAATGAAATGAAATTATTTTGATAAAGTGTGTAATGTTTTATTAAGTGATAGTATTCACAGAATAATGTTATTTAGTTTCAATTTTATTACTATTATTGCACAATATTTAATAATATATATTATATATAATTAATACATTGTATGTCAATGTTATTTACTTATTTAAATTATATAAAACTTTGTACTTAATATATATTAAAGAAATAAATATTTGCGTTGGTGATATGAAAATATTAAAAATATGAATAGTCTCCTATAAATGCTATCAATATGATTTTATGGACTTTATGTTATCCACATTGAATTAAGTCACGAACTTATTCTATACCTTTCACATAAAATTTTAGCTATTTGATGTTACATTTTGAAGAGAAACGTTGTTGTTTCACTTGATAATTTGAAAATATTTTTATAATAATGAAATAAATTAAATGTTGCATAGTTTAATACTAGCTAAATGCCAACATAATTATATAAATTTATCATGATTGATGATCTAAAACTGTTATCATCATAGATAAGATTAATAAAATAAAAATAGTGTTGGACGATGAATTTAGAAATTGTAGAAGCAGTTGAAATATCTAAAGGATTTATTGTTATGGGTATGCTATAAAGGGGGACAGGGAAGGGGCATGTATAAATTTATC